CACGTAAAGGCTATCTCTTCTACCCTCCATCAGATATTGAAGTATCCTTATAAGGGAGGGGTAGCAACTGTTTTTGGGAACTCATCCATTCATCCACCTCCAGAGCTGACTACGCCAGTGCTAGAGATCAACCATGGAGATGATGATGTATTCCTTTCGGGGTTCACTCTGGTGAAAGCCTGGGTAGTGTAAATAATTCTAGCTACGAACGAAGGCATGTACATCAGTGCCCAATCCATCTACTTCATGAACAAACTGCAGCACGTTCCAGACATGAGGCTCGGAAGGAGAGGGCAAAAAGGTGTTACAACATCAGCTGAGGTGTCACACAACCCGCATGCCTTTGGATTAGGCTACGTGCCCACCAAAGAGGACTGGATAAGAAAGGGAAAAGAGATGAGGGGTAAAGCCAAAGCCAAGAGGGCTGGGAAACATTGTGAGCTTGTCCACAAGACAATTCGGGGGACATTGAATGGCTGTTTTGTTTGAGAAATAGAGGATTTCCCTTTTTACGACTTTCCCGAGCCTTGGGTAAATTCCTCAAAGAAGCACATCCTCGGGTTTGAGATTTTCGTTGATCTACAGCTACAGGACAGTGATGAGGAAAAAGCTGAACCAAGCATCAACACTGACCAGAGCATGACTCAGACAACAGTGAGGTTAACATAGAGGCAACACTAGTTGATCTCTTGACAAATCCCGCGATCGATACAGAGAACTTAGGGGATAACATTACTGTCTCTATGATTGGAGAGGAACAGGGTATGGATCCCACCAGTGGTATTTTGGATGCATCGAGGGCACCATGTCTTACTTGGTAGTTGGAGGAAGGCTTTCTTTCCAGTTCTGAATCAGGTAATGAGCCAGAATGTGGTTCCACTAAGTCTGTGAAGTCATAATCAGATTCAAGTCAGTCCAGGGGGTCTAAGTCTGGCATTCCCGGTAGTGGTAACCTGGATGCCAAAATTCTATCCCAGTTTTCTTTTTCTTTTGTTTTTGAGTTTATTGTAACAGAAGAGTTGAAACTTATGAATGAGAACACTGCAGATTCTGTGTACTACTCTGTGCTGCTGATTTATTGTATTGACCCAGATTTTTAGAAATTTAACAAAAACGAAGAGGAAGAAATTCCTCTGGCTTTGAAAAACTTGATTAATCGAGAGAAGGAGAGGCATGCTAAGCCTTATTTTGATGAAATCATTGCCATTAATATGGGTAGGGAGAAGGATCCGCGCTTGGTCCAGATCAGGTCCACATTGTCTTCGGAGGAACATGAGCATTTAATCGCTTTGTTAAAAGATTTTAAAGATGTTTTCGCATGGTTCTACAAAGACATGCCTGGAATCGACCCTGAGATTGTACAGCATCGGATCCCTCTTAACCTTGAGTCCTGACCAGTCAAACAGAAAGTGCGCAGAGTTCATCCGGATTGGGCGCTGAAAATCCAGGAAGAGATCACCAAGCAGATTGATGCCGGATTCTTGTTAGTGTCCGAGTATTCGACTTGGTTGGCCAACATCGTCCATGTTCCAAAGAAAGACAGCCGAATTCGGGTTTGTGTCGACTTTCGGGAATTGAACAAAGCCACGAAGGACGACTTTCCATTGTCGTACATTGATGAGTTGGTAGACTTTACCGCAGGCCATGCCTTGTTTTTGTTCATGGACAGGTTTTCCGGGTGTAACCAGATTCTAATGGCACCAGAAGACAGAGAGAAAACTACGTTCGCCACGCCGTGGGGTACCTACTGCTACTGAGTTGTGCCCTTTGGGTTGAAAAATGTTAGAGCTACATATCAGAGGGCTATGACCACCATTTTGCATGACATGATCCACAAAGTTGAGGTGTACGTGAATAATATGATTGTCAAGTCCAAAGAGCGAGAAGACCACTACACCGCACTAGAAAAATTCTTTCAACGGATCAGGGAATACAGATTGAGGTTAAACCTGTAAAAATGCACCTTCGGTGTAACGGCAGGAAAAATGCTGGGATTTCTGATCACGTAAAGGGGAATTGAAGTAGATCCTTCCAAAATCAAGGCCATCTTAGAAATGCCACCACCAAGGACTGAAAAAGTGGTACGTGGCTTTCTGGGTAAAGTGCAATTCATAAGACGGTTTATTTCCAAAGTAACCTTGACTTGTGAGCCATTATTTGGTCTTCTGAAGAAAGGGAAGAAGTTTGGATAAGACGATCGATGTCAGTTTCCCTTCGAGCAAGTCAAGCAATACTTTTAGAATCTGCCTGTGTTGTCACCACCAGAGCCGGGGAAACGTCTGATTCTGTACTTGTCAATAATGGACTCGACCGTGGGGTGCATGCTAGCTCAAGAATCTGAAGATAAAGTGGAGAAAGCCATCTATTACTTGAGCAAGAAGATGTTAGACTATGAAATCCGCTATACTCCCTTGGAGAAAGCTTGCTCAGCCTTGGTATGGGCTACCAGGAAGTTGAGGCACTACCTGTTAGCTGACTCCGTAATTCTGGTTTCGAGATTAGATCCCATCAAATATCTTTTTGAGAAACCAGTGCTTGCAGGTAGGCTAGCTCATTGGTTGCTTTCTTCTCTCTGAATTTGATCTCAAATATGTCACGCGCAAATCTGTTAAAGAGAGAGCTGTGGAAGAATTCCTGGCAGATCGCCTAGTGAAAGGAGATAAGGCAGTGGAGTACCTATTTCCAGATGAAGATATTCTGCAAGTGGAAGAGGAAACGTGGACGATGTACGTTGACGGAGTGTCTAATCAGTACGGTTACGAGATAGGTGTGTTACTGGTAGCACCTGATGATTCCCATATACCCCTAGTGTTCAAAATCCGGTTCAAAGTGTCCAACAATGAAGAAAAATATAAGGCGTGCATTGCTGGTTTGGAAGCCGCCCTAGAACTAGGGGCAATAACGTTGGATGTTATCGGAGATTTGAACTTGGTTGTGTCTCAAGCAAACGGAGATTGGAAAGTCAAAGAATAGAAAATGAAGGTGTATCATCAAGCCTTGGCTATTCTGATTCTAAGGTTTGAAAAACTGACATTTACACATCTACTGAGAGAGAATAGCAAGTTCGCTGATGCTTTGGCAACTCTATCTTCTATGGTAGACATCCCATTGGGAGTGAAAATGCATCTGATTATTATCGAATAGAAATACACACCGTCTTATGAGACCATTACCGTAATAGATGAAGTTCAAGACAAAAGCCCCTAGTATTACGATATTTGAAACTTTCTGGAAAAGGAGATGTATCCACTAAGGGCAAATGCCAAGGACAAACAAGGAATATGGCGTCTGGCCGTCTAATTTATCATCTGCGGAAATATGCTGTATAAAAGAGGCCATCATGGAATGCACAAGCTGTATGTTGAATAAGAGGAATCGAAGCGCCTTACGGAGGCCATCCACGGAGAAGAGTGTGGGGCACACATAAATGGTGTGATGCTAGCCCGGAAGATCCTAAGACAATGTTATTACTGGCCAACCATGGAGGAGGATTGTATTGGTTTTGTACAACAATACCACAAATGCCAAATTCATGCCAATTGCATGAATATCCCGCCATCTAAGCTTTACAATATGACTTCACCATGGCCATTCTCAGTCTTGGAGATCGACATCATCGGTGCAGTCTCGCCAAAGGGGTCAAATGAACATGAGGTCATTCTGGTGACGATTGACTACTTTACAAAGTAGGTGGAAGCTCAGTCCTATGCGGTATTGAAAGCGTCACATGCAACCAAATTCATCAGAAATAACATCATCTACCGATATGGAGTCCCGAACGAGATCATATCAGATAACGGTTCACACTTCAAGAAAGAGGTGGCTGATCGGCTTGAGAAATATAATGTGGCTTTTCATAAGTCATCAACATATAGACCACAGACCAATGGAGCTGTTGAGGCCGCCAACAAGAACATTAAGAACACCCTGCGAAAGATGGTTGAGGCCTACAAGGACTGGTTGGATAAGCTACTGCTTGCACTTTGGGGCTACAGAACATCGACTCGGACATCCATAGGGTCAACCCCTTACTCTCTGGTGTACAAGATGGAAACTGTTCTACCAATTGAAATTGGCCTTGCGAATTATGGCTGAGTGTCAGATAGTAGAGGTGGATGGGCAACAGAGCAGATTTAAGGAGTTGGTGTTGTTCGATGAAAGGAGGTTAAAGTCGTTGTATCACATTCAGGGCTACCAACGCAAAATTTCTAGGGCTTTTAACAAGAAAATTAAGTCCAAGAATCTCAAGGAAGGAGACATGGTATTGAAAGACAACTGAGCTCCCATCCATGACCCTAGGAGCAAATTCTGACCCAATAGAACGGGTCCCTACATCATCAAATCTATTTGGTCGGGAGGGGGGGAACATTCTCATGGACCTAGATAGCCTAGAGTTTTCACAGCTGATCAATATGGACAAGTTGAAAAGATACTATCCCTAAGAGGCTCATTAGGTCGAAAACCTGGAAGGGCGACCTAGGCAAATATTAGAGCATGAAAAATTAGAAATGAAGAAAAACTGAGCTCGTAAGGTTGAAAACCCTATAGGGCGACTTTGGCAAAAGTTAGAGCTCAAAAGGAGAGAGTTAATACTCAAGTGAACCCGAACCAAACTACGTAAGGCTTGATTCCCATCTTTGGGATACGTAGGCAACTTCATCCTGAATTTCAGCTATAACCATCTCCAACTTAACTGTCCTATTCGTTTATTTGATCGGACCATCTTTCTTTATTATCGATTAGCTCGATTGTGTGATCTTCATTTCGATAAAAGAGCCGGTATGGTGAATGCAGTTATGGGCAATTGTAATCTGATCTTCTGATTTGGGGCGGTACATCTTGAGGGCTGATTCCGTGTGTGTTAGGAAGTGATCATTTTCGAAAATGGTTTTGAAAAGTTTTAATAAGAGTGATTTTCCTCAAAATTTACCTTTTACAACTTAGACCATTTTGGGACCAAAAGGAAAATTTTTAGTGCTCACAACTTTAATTCCATTGATTTCAACACAAAGTACATTCTCCAACTCTCTGATTTAAATTAAAGTTGCTTTTACATCATAAAACTTGAAAAGAAAGGTCAGAGTAATAAACTAGGGGCATAGGTGAGTTAGGTGTTCCTGCGTCCTCTACTCGTGCTTGCAGAAGTCTTTACAGTCAAAGTTGGCCCAACATGTGCCTCTTCTTCAAGCCAAGCCAAGCACTCGCCGGAAAGGGCGCAACTAAAGCTAGGGACAAGGGCCAGCATTTCTCTTGTCCTCCAAGCAGTGAGGTACTGAGTCAGGTGCGCAACACAAATGGGAAATGAAGTTGGGTATTCCACCCCCTCTTCTGGTTGGGCCTGGTCATGTCCAAACTGGCGTCTGAACCAGAAAGGGATATAAAACATGCAGTGTGTGATGCCAATCAACTATATGCCCAGTTGTTGGGACATGCTGTAGCTCATCTCAGCCAAATTAAGCTAGAGGCAACACCAGGTAATATCAGCCGCAGATCTGCTGCACATCCAGTTGCACAACCATTCCTCTGTGGGAAAATCCACTAGCCGTTGGTGAAAAAAGTAAGCTCTGGCTGAATACATAGGGCAAGGGTCCACCACTTTCAACTTATCTATTAGCCATCCCTGGGAATAGATGAAAAATAAGAGAGATTAAAACATAGAGAGATGTACGTTGAGAGAAAAGTAAGGAAAAGGGCTTAGAGCGAAAAATAGAGAATGAGTGCCAAATGATGTGGGAGCTATTTATAAGAAAGGGTGGGAAACAATACCTGGAGTACCAGTGGTCTCCCTGCGAGCAGAGTAGTCTCTCACATGTGAAAAGCATCTACACCCATCAAAGTTTCGACCAAAGCTAGAGCAATGCAACTCTTACCCTCTTTCAAGCATTGGGCCACTTCGATCAACTTAGTGTTGGCTTCGCCATAATTAGGTGTCACAACCAAAACCCGCCCCTATAGGTTTAGCATCGTAACTGGCCAGTAATCATGGGATTACCGAAGGCCTCTGAGATAGATTAACATAATATTAGGGGCTAGCGGAAGCAAATAGCAATTATACAACATCCATTGAGCTATGCAGACTTACATGAGACAAAAAAAAATTTAAACTATACGTACATACATTTACACATCATCATCATATATATACAGACTAGACAGGAAGGGACTTGGCCTAAATACAGAATAAACAAAAACAAGGAAACAAGACTTGAACTTTATGCATATAGCCATAACCACTTGATATATTCGAAACCTCCATGGGAGGCACATAGATTGGCTGACAAAACAAAGTCCAGGTAGAACCTCTAGGCCTAGTCACGCACCTGATCACCTACATACATAAATAATACGGTAAGCTGGAACTCAGTGAATAATAACAAAGTAAAGGGTTTTAATGAATGATGTCCATCACAGAGTCAGAAATCAGAATTCATATCAGAAACAGATTCTTATTAGAAACAGAGTCTTATGCATATTCAGATTTCAATCAGAAATAGATTCATATTCATATTCTTATTCAAATCATATACAGAAATTAGAGTTCATGCTTAATCTTACATAGTACATCTATTAGCTCTAACAGATCATATACAGAGCATTACGGGTCATACTTGTCAATTTCATAAGGAACCTCCAGTACTGGGAACGGATAACTTGTCAGTTCCATAAAAGAACCTCCAGTATTGGGAATGGATGACTTGCCATTTCCATAAAAGAACCTCCAGTATTGGAAACAGATAACTTGTCAGTTCCATAAAGGAACTTCCAGTACTGGGAATGAATAACTTGTTAGTTCCATAAAGGAACCTCCAGTACTGGGAACGAATAACTTGTCAGTTCCATAAAGGAACCTCCAATTCCGGGAACATATAACATACTTGAACCACGAAATTGTTGCCATGAGTACTTGTCAGAAACTGGATAATCATTCATTGTACAGAACATAACATTTCATAAAACAGGTCTTATTTCATATACAGAAAATAAATAAAGTTGAACATAGCTTTATTAAGTTATTACTCATAGATGGCTCTGCTAGTAGATCAGATAAGGCAGACATATCAGGCAAACAATAGAGTGTGGACTACACAAATAAATAACATATACACATTGATGCACAATATCACTTCCTTGATTAAACTTGACTTTTCTTGTCTTCTGTTTAAATAATCCGAAGGTCTACTATGTTTGTTCTTTCTTTATTCAAATGAATCAGGTTCTCGTTTCACATATTCTTTCATTACTAAATTATTCTTTTCTAAATAAACCAATTTCTTACTTGGCTTCTTAATCAATTATTACTAAGTCAATGACTTATTCTTTAACCAACTAATTTATGTTGATTGGTAGTTTATTAATCTTGTTGAGTCATAATTCTTGCCTAAGAATGCTTGGAAGTGAAAGAGAACGGAAATTGAAATACGAAGCGACTTTTCAAAATTTTCTAAAACAAGACTCTTCGCTCGAGCGCAACATTGGTCCCTCGAGCAGACCTCTTGGTCTACAAAAACACTGGTTGCTTGCATTCTACACTCGAGCAACAACTTCTTCGCTCGAGCGACGGTGACGAATTCTGGGTTTTCCAGAACGTTGTTTAAACTTCAATACACATTACCAAGGCTCCAAATTTATGCATGACTCACTCGAATATGCAAAAACATTCCCAATTACATATATTTGTTTAATGAAACTTAAAATTGAATTTATAAGGCCTTTTCAACAATATTTGAATGTATGAAATTTAAATCAAAATCAAACTAAGTTTTGATTCTCAAATATAAATTATAATTTATTTCCATATTTGTCCAAATTTAAATTTAATTCATTTCATCCATATCAAACCCAATTTCAATCTCATAAGTTCTAAAATATGAATTAAGCTTTCAAAATATAATTCCAAAATATAATTTCAAAACTTAGGTTTAACATGGCTTGTCTAAAATAATACAAACTCTTAAATAATTAAGAAAACTTGATCAATTTTAAACCATTGACATCAAAACTCCTTTAATATAAAATTAAATCTCATTCTTCATAAACTCATACTTTTTAACCCAAAACTTAATTGCGGATGCTTCAAAATATGTTCAATTTGAATAAAACTTTTAATTTGAATTACATGCTTGAATTACATGCATGGATTCAAAATTAAAATTAAACCAATTCCTATCTTTCATAATAAAATAAAAACGTTGTCTAACTTTAGGATTAACCCCAAATTTCCATAAACTTGATTTTTATAAAATTTCTTCATTCTTTTCTTCAAAACATGAAATTGATTATCTTAAATTCTTCAAAATCCATGATGCGTGTATAAAACACTTATCAAAATCCAACAAATTCTTCATTATCAAGCTCAAACTATAATTTGACTTCTTAATTTATATCACAACCAAACTTATAAACTTTAAAATATGAATTAAATTCTAAAATCTTGAAGATTCACAGTGCATGTAAGGATAACCTTCAAATTTATGAAGGATGACAAAGATCAAACTCAAATATTAAATTACAACATCAATTTCTTAATTATCAAACCTAACTCAAATTTTCTTCATTCCTTTCCTAATTCATTCTATTTCCATGAAATTAAACCGATTCACTTCTTGATTTTGGTTGTTAAGTAATGAATCTATAAGTATTAAGCTTGAATTTCTTACCTAAACTCTTGAATTTGATGAATCTTTGATAAATTCTTGAGCTCCCCTTTAATTCCACACCTTTCCTTGCTTTTCCTTCCTTATTTCTTCTTCTTCTTGAACTCTTGAGTTGGATTTCCAGCAGCTAACTCTCTCTCTCGGTCCTTTTTTGCTTCCATTACATCCCTATTCAACATATTGAGTTCACCTTTCTTTTTTTGTTTTTCTTTTGTTCTCATTGATTCTAGAACTCACCAGCACACACACACACCTTTGTCTCAACATCACATATATACACACACTTGTATAACCAGAATTCTCAGCACACCCACACAGATTTCTCTCCGCACCCACGTACACTCATAATTCTAGATTCTTTCTTAATTTAATTCATGAATAAGATTAGCTTAATTTAAATAGCACTTAGTCTTAATAAATCTTAACTAACACATAATTAAATTAATTACAACTAATCATAAATTCCACATAATTTAATATGTCTAATTTGAGTTTCTTTAGATCCCAATTAATTATATTAAATCTACCATTCTGAATCATATTTTTAATCAAACTCCCAAAAGGCTCCAAATATTAAATTAAACTTATTTTCGTCCTCAATTTTGGTTTCTTAAATCGTTTAAGCCTTCAATTTCTGATTAGACTCAAAATTTTGTCAATAAATTGCATATTCAAATTAGGCACCACATAAATGAATTTAATTCATAAAAATCTTAATTCCTACTTCGTATAACTTAATTAACTCCAATTCAGACCCAATTAATCAAAACTCAATTTTATAAATCTGAATCGAATATTTAATTAAACTTCCATATAGTCCGATACTCGAAATTAAAATAATTCAAATCACCATTTGTACTATCTTGAACCATTTAGGTTTTCAATTTCTAATTCCAAAATAAATCCTCAATAGAATCATATATGAATTAGTCTTCATAATTTTCATAAATCTTGAATTAAATCAGAGTAATGGGCAATTAAATTCAAATCTCTTTGATTAATTAAATACTAATTATTATACGTAGTGGGTCCGTCACACTAGGGGAAAGAAGGAAGTGCGCGAGCATACACAAATAGAGGGCATGTTACCGACAACCTCGCCAGAGGAGGTCACCTCTATCGCTAATGTTAGAAAACCAATGAATCAAGCCTGGTATATCTATCTCCCTGTCATGATCCAAAGATCAAGCTTCGTGTAAAGTGAGCCCACACATCTGTTCCAAAGCCTGGGCATGGCTAAAACAAGGCTGAGGCATGATTACCTCGTCACGTTGGGATTTCATCAATGGTTGGAACTCTTCAAGAGTTGGACACATTTCTTGTGCCTCAAAACGAAATACATGTGTAATTGGGTCCCAACATCGGACCGCAGTATGGAGGAACAGAAAACAAAGTGAATTACGGCTCAACGAAAAAAGCGCATTTATGCTGAAACTTTGAAAAATTACCTTTTCTGTGTCGTCTGAAGTGGATATCCAGTCTTTAAGTGTCTCGACAAGGAATATCTCTATTTGTGGAAGAAACAGCAACAAAAATGAGGTTCTGTCAAAGAAATTGTGCAAGAAGACCTTTTGTAGAAGATAAGGCTGTGAGTGGATGCCGGCTATAAGCCAACTGATGAACCACCACAACTGGCCGGTCGGCCACATTTAGTGGTCGACCGTCCACTTTAGTGGCTGGCTGCTCACTATTGTGGGCCTGGTAGTTCAGCAGTCTAGTTTTGTTCCGGTCTTTGTGTGCTGAGGTCTTGTTTTGAGTCTTTTATTTTTAGTAAGTGTAAATAGCTATGTTAAGTTGTTTTTCCTTTGTTTTCCATTTATCGAGTTGTATTTTGTATTTTAGCCGGTTGTTGGCTCATTCCTTAGTTAAGAACATTATTCCAATACAAGCAATTTCAATTTCAAATACCATTCCATTTTTCATTTATGCAAGTGTGGTGCTCGTGATGCAAAAACAAGTCTCTTTTTATAAAACTGCAAGGTTTTACCTCGATCATAGTTTTTACAAAGAGAGAATACGAGTTTTCAAAAACAAAAGTAAAGACCTAACTGAAGCTATACATGTACTAAGCTACAAAAAGAAAAGAAACTAAGTAAAAGAGTACAAAAATATGTGCCAGTTGTATCAAGCTCGAGAGGCCCTCTTCGTCATTTTCCTCGGAGGGGACTCAGGGGCACTATTTCCGTCGACACCGCTATTAGAATCAGACTCTAACCCAGAGCTGGCATCGCTATCTCTACTCTCAGAGCCGGCCTCGGAGCCTTTATCCCTCCTTGACCCCAAGCTGGCATCATCATCCTCGCTCTAAGACAGCTTAGAGCGTCAGCTTATCGCCTCCTCCGTGCTGCTGGTCTCAATATCATCCCCACTCAAATTCGACTCCGAGGAGGAGGAGGAGGTCTCCTCTGTCTAGGCGTCGCTGCTCCAATCCCGAGCACCTCTGCCCCTATCTCGACCTTGACACTCATCTCGACCTCGTGCTAGGGCCTGTCTACCTCTCCTCCCTACCGCTGGAGGAGGTACTGCCGGTGCTGTCGCTACCGCTAGTGCCCTCGATGCAGGTAGGATCTGAAAAACAAGTATCAGATATAGTATATTGTAGAATGTATAATGCAGTATGAATATGATACAGAAAATAGATTCAGCATAAGTGCAGTGTGAAGTAGTATCAGAATGCATGTCAGTACACAGTGTATCAGTGTGTGTTTCACATATTAGTGTCTGTTTTGGGCAGTACAATGCATAACAATCTGAGTAAGTAATGCAATGCACGAGAGGAAGGGAAGATACCTGGATACCGTGGATACCGTGAAGAGTGAGCAACGTCTCTCTCCTCTGCACCATGTGAACTAGAGAAGCAACCAGCTGAAGAAGGCCCTCTATGTACTCTGTGGGCACCGACAAGTGAATTTGACTAATCAGTATCTGAAAGGGAAAATGCGAGATGCAAGTTGTCAAGTGTGGTCCATACCTAAGGTGCACCCAGGGCTCTGACATGCCCATGCCCCACCTCCGATGGCTCTATCAGGATTTGATAGGCTGTCCCGCTCGACTGCCAGCAGGGAATCGCGGTAGGAATCACTGGCCAATCGGCTGCATGCACGATAGGAGGGGCCTCTCCAACAACAGCCTCAGCCTTTTAGGCAGCCTCTCCGGCAAAGGGGGTGCCTGTAGCATCATCGGCGCGAACTCCAACCAAGGGTGGCATGAGGTGAGTCCTAATGAAGGCTATGGAGTCTCCGTCTCATCGGAAGTAGTCCGCATCCTACCCCGCCATGAACTGAATAATAGCCTCAACTGGGAGGCTTTCGGCTGACCTTATAGATGCTGGAGGCAAAGCAGGAATAACTGGGGCAAGTAGGCCCATGGTCTGTGTACAAAACGCTCATCCATAAACCAAGCCCGGTAGAATGGGCCCTCCAGCAAGATCTGGTACCAGGAGATAGCCCATGCCTCGGCGTACTGGTCCTTGACTCCGGCCGGCATCATCGCCCACATGATCTGTAAATGTAGAAGTTACAAGTTGTTAGTTGTTGTCAGTTGTTAGAGTATGAATCAGAACAATAACAATTGAAACAAAGCAGAGCTGTAAGTTTTAGGATTACCTCGCATGCTACCACCGTGTCGAAGTATCGGCGGAAGTAAGTGAATGTCATATCGTCATAGTGTCAGCACCTACCATCATATCGCTGTATGTAGGGCACGGCTGGTGCTACCACCTCTACTGGTACTAGGGCAAGGGCCAAGAAATAAACATAAGCCTACAGCTGCAAGGAGAGATAAAGTGTGAATCCATATGTGAGAATAGATAGTAAACAGAAAGTGCAAAGCAGAAAACACAATGCATAGGCAGATATAAAGTAGAAAATGCAAAGCAGAAAGCATAAAGAAGCAAACAGAAAATAAATGGATAGATGCGTACCTCCCAGGCTCTCCAATAGCCTCCAACCTTGTTCCCCTTCATGTGGGAACTGGAGCTCATATAGCCATAAAAGGGTAGCAAGGCTAGCGCTACCCCATTCATAAAACCGGACCCGGGACAAGGTCACAAGGGCACTCAATAGATACAAGCCCATGGTATTCCACCTGTTCGCAAACAAGGTGGTACCAAGAAGGTATATCAAGAAGCCTCGGGTGTACTGTTCTATCTCCTCTTGAGTCTCGGACTGACTCCTGTGGAAGCACTCATAGAACCAGTTGTATCTGACCATAATTGGCCTGTGTAGAGGTGGGCTCGCTCCAAGAAGATAGATCCAAGCCGCCTACCATTGGCCCATATCCATATCAAAGGGGATCGGATCACCCCCTACGCCCAAGCCGGTGATCATCGAGAAATCATAGGGGGTCATCGTCATCTCCCCTGCAGAAAAGAAGTGGAAGGAGTTGGTGGTGTCCCACCACCTTTCCACTAACGCTCCAAGTAAGGCCCGATTGACCATGTGACGTGAGAGCTCAGTACAGAATAAGCCAAAGCTTGTCTTATCAACAGGGTCGTAGACCCGGGAAGGGGAAGCTCGTGATACCAGTTCCTAGCCGTCACCGTTCCATAACCTCTCTAGGAGCGAGAGTCCTCTTGTGATAAGGAAATAATGAAAGACAGTTAGATGAAAGGTAATGATGAAATGAATAGAAGACAGTCAGTTAAAAGGTAGTGATAAAATGGTTAAATAGGTAAATTGCATGAAAGCAAAGTTTGTACCTCAGAAATGCCATGAGAAAGATGGGAGGCTTGCTCCCTCAGCAAAATAACAAAATCATCAAACTGCATCATACCGCCAGAGGCCATCGTGTGCGTCTGTGGGTGGTAAGTGGCCAGATCAAATGGTCTCAGCCTCAGTGGCAACAGCTCGGACTCGAGCCTTAGAAGGAAGACTACGTTTGCCTTGACCTCAAAATCAGCGGCGATATCCTCCGTTGCCCCACCGGTCTCAACAACTGCTGGCTCCTCTACCTTGGGTATAGGTGGAAGCACAGGTACCTCGGGAGGGGCACCGTCATGTGGGACATCATCTGCCATCTGGAAAGTGGGTGAAAGTGGGAAAAAATGAAGAAAAATGGGGAAAATGGGGAAAACTTGAAAAAGGTCAACCCTAGGAGAGAGAAAATGAAAGAAAAAGTCAAAATTCGGAAAAACTCACGAAGCCCAAGAAAAACCCAAGGAAAATAAGCCCAAAGTGTTGAAAACTCAGAAAAATCAACAAAACAAAATCTTATCAGTTCAAAATGTAGATGATCAAAGAG